GTGTGTGTGTGTGTGTGTGTGTGTGTGTGTGTGTGTGTGTGTGTGTGTGTGTGTGTGTGTGTCGGCAGTTTCCTAATTAGAAAACAGAGAACACGTGAGCTTGTTCCTCTACTTAGAGACGTGCAGAAGGGGCCACGCGTGTCTTCACAGAAACAAACAGCCAGTGTAYGTGTGTGTGTAAAAGTGGGGAAACAACACGGTAGAAACATGTACGCTTTAGTGAACGCCTTCATGCGCTGCCTGTCCTTCCTCCTGCCTCCTCCTTGGCTTTGTGTCAGCTTCTGCCTGTGGGTTGGGAAGGACTGTGAAGACGCGCTGCCGCGGCCCAATCCCAGAGCTCGTTTCAAAAGCAGAAAGCCTCTTACATATGAGGAAGTAGCAGCAGTGGGAGCACAAGGAGGCTCTAGCTCCTCGGTTTTACCAGGTCCAGGCTGCGTCTCGCCGGCCGCTACAAGCCCCGCCGCTCCTCAGGGCCCCCCGCAGGCTCGGATCTGGACCGGGGCTCTCTGGCGAGCCGTGGAGCGCGTCTTCGGAGCCCCCTGGGTCCTCCTCCGCCGTCGCTGGAGTCGTCGAGCAGCTCTGCGCGCCCCGTATCCTCCACCACCACCACCACCGCCGCCTCCTCCTCTTTCTCCTCCAGCCCGTGCCTTCGAGCTGAACCAGATCGCTCCGAGTTTTATTATCCAGGGACGAGGCGCCCCCGTCAGCCCGGACTGGGAGGCACCTGGTGGGACCGCCCTGACTCGTTCCAGAAGCGCGATCATGATGAGCGGGGCCGTGGGGATCCCCGGAGCCCACCCGGCGGAATGCGCCTCAGGTGCGTCCCCGGAGGAGCAGCAGCAGCGGGGCGTCGACGAGGTCATCACCGTGGACCAGCTCTCCCAGGAGATGGGCACCGTGACGATAACCGTGGCCATCCAGGCGGCGGAGGACGAGGAGCCGGAGGACGAGTCCACCCATAACAGCGTGGACTGTCTCCGAGGCAGCTGCAGCGAGGACGAAATCGGGAGACATGACAAATCAAGGTATTTATTCTACCTCTTTAACGACATGAAGTCTTTATTTTAACTTCTTTATTAACCTTGTAGTGCACTTTCACTATAGTCTGGTGAAATCCCAGTTTTCCTGCCTCGTTAATCAGCAGCAGCTGCTGAAGTGGCGTCGCGCGCACTTCTGACAGGTTCTGTTTGTTTCCCCGGATATAAGATCAGCTGTGTGCGCGTGGAGCTGCACAAAACAAAGAGATTCCAAGAGGTGATTGTAAAACACGCCGAACAGCACAACCGTGTGAGAGGACCACAGTGGGTTCACACAGGAGTGTCGGCGGCACCGCGGGGGATATTCTCTGTTCTGGTGGGRAAGTGTTGTCCTGGGGCTGTAAAAGGCAGACACCTGAAACAGAGCTGAGGACAGCAACCTTCACTTTAATCTAATTCCCTTGCGTCATGGCCTGCTATTTTTATCCCCCCTGGCCTATAGGGCCCCTGCTCAGACTACGTGTGCAAACAGTGAGTCAGTGATGGATGGGCCAAAGGTGAAGTAAATCTTTCAACGAGAGGGTTTGTTGCTGTGTCGTTATTGACATAAGAGGCCACGGTAAGCTTAAATCTTTAAGAAGTGGTGTTAACTCTGGTTTGTGGTTTCTTTTCACCTGATCRTTGCAGCATTCCTTCAGAGACTTCCCACAAGCTTTCAGGCCGATCCAGGGTCCCTGTCGGTGCTGATGCCTCACTTGTCGTCTATGTGGGGACTGTCTTTTTCAATACTACTACCAGCTGTGTGGTCATACTGCTGGAAAGCTGTTGACTGTGTGTGTGTGTGTGTGTGTGTGTGAGAGGGAGGTGATGAGTCATCCTCAAAATTTTCATTCAAACCCACTCCAATGTGCAAGGTCACCTGACTGTGCTACTTCACAGCCTGAGCCAGGTCTTTTGAGTTTCGCATTTGCTGTTGATGCATTTTTTTTTTTTAGATTTAAGTCACCATATTCTTTGTGGGAGAGTCTGTGACAGTGCATCTTTCAGATGGCGAGGCTGTGGCAGTTTCAGGCCTGGAACTGAGCAGGGACTGTGGCTGCAGACCTGGTTTGTGGATGGCTGCAAGGGAAAAAAAATCTTAAAAGGAAAAGGCGAGCAGGCAGTTGCAATGGGCAARGGAAATGGCAGGATGAGGATTAGTCTCTGCCAACAATTTGTAAGCCTCTGGCTTATTGTATTAATGAGCATTGAGTGGGGTGGGGATGCAACAGTTGTAATGTTGATGCTTTACGAGATGAGAAACATTCGGCTTTTTCATTCCAACAGGAGTCTCTGCTGACATGTTCTCTTCCCACACAGTGGTGCAGGCACCAGCGGAGGAGAGCTGGAGGAGGAGAGCTGGCAGCCCCCAGATCCAGAGCTCATCCAAAAGCTGGTCGCTCAGATTGAGTTCTACCTGTCTGATGAGAACTTGGAGCACGACGCCTTCCTGCTGAAACATGTCAGGCGCAATAAACTCGGTTTTGTCAGTGTCAAGCTGCTCACCTCGTTCAAAAAGGTAACCATGGCTGCCGGTCACTTGGGTGCAAACGCGACAGGAAATCATCTGAATAGCTGACCTGCTAAAAGCAAATTGCACACAAAGCTGTAACGGCCTAAATTACAGTGTACATTCCGTATGCTACATACTGAATTGCGGGCTAATTAATAATGTTTTGGTCATCCTGAACTGAGAACCAGCAGAATATGAGCTCCAGCCACAATATACAAATTTGATTTTTTTGTAATTTAGTAGGAGTTAACGTTTTAAAAATAGGACCCTTAATAGTTTTCATTATTGTAATTCCCATTGACAAAGGCTAAGATTAGAATAGCAACGACTGAATGTTTCTAGTGTTAGCATGACTAGCTGTTTAATGATGTTCTCACACTGATTCACAACAGCAGGTGCTACTTCAGACTCATGCATGCAGACATGCTGGCTTCTAATTGAAACTTTCATTCTGTTTATGCCACAATAACCTACCATGCCAAACGTAGTAGTCACTTTTGAAATAAACTAGAGCTGGACTGATTGTTATTGGTTCTTCAATAACTGAAATCAATATGCCACAATATAAAGATTTAGTTTTCTTGGGTGGTCCTTCAGTATCTGCTTCAAACTGATTTGCAAATTACTGCATTAATCATGTGACTTGATGGTTAGGGACTCRCTTCAAGGCTTTGTAGTGACCCAGGTGTTGTCTTTGTTGCAGGTTAAACACTTGACTCGTGACTGGAGAACAACAGCCTATGCTCTGAAGCACTCAAAGATACTTGAGCTGAACGATGAGGGGCGCAAGGTGCGACGTAAATCTGCAGTGCCYGTCTTTGCCAGCGAGTCGTTACCCAGCCGAATGCTGCTGCTAAGCGATTTGCAGAAGTGGCCTGAACTGGCCGCTCTCACGAAAGATAACGGAAGCTGTGAGGGTGGAGCCACTCAACAGGAGCAGCTTATGAAGCTGCTGCTGAAAGCGTTCGGGACATACGGCGCCATTGCTTCTGTCCGAGTCTTGAAGCCAGGGAAGGACCTGCCGGCGGACCTGAAGAGACTGAGTGGGCGCTACTCTCAGCTAGGCACAGAGGAGTGTGCCATTGTGGAGTTTGAGGAGGTGGAGGCTGCCGTAAAAGCCAACGAGGCCGTGGGAGGTGAGGATGGAGGAAGCGGTTCGCTGGGGTTGAGAGTGGTCCTGATCGGAACAAAGCCGCCTAAAAAGAAGGTATCCAAAGAACGACCTCGCGAGGAGGGAGGGATGCGCAAAAGCCGCTCTCTGAACAGCCGAGTGCGAGAGCTTCAGTACCACGGGGACGACTCTGCTTGCAGCTCCTCGGAGACGGAAAGCACCCCCACGTCTCCCAGTCTGGCGAGAAAGTCCCAATCCTGCAACAAGCTCAGCCCCACCACTGCCGGCATCGGCTTTCAGAACAATAATCACTTAAGTCCCGGTATGTCTCCACGTAACAGTCCCTGGTCGAGCCCCCGTGCCAGCCCGTGCCCTCAGCGTAAATCCCATCATTCCCACAAGTCTCCCTTAGTGAGCGAGGGCAGGCTGAGCCCCGAGGCTGGGCGCCGCTGGGCAGACTACTCYTCGGACAGCAGCCTCACGCCTTCTGGGAGCCCATGGGTTCAGCGGCGCAAGCAGGTGGCCTCTCAGGAGAGCAGTCCCGTCGGCAGCCCCATGCTGGGCAGAAAGATCCAGAACGCCGACGGTCTGCCGCCAGGAGTAATGAGGCTGCCAAGGGGTCCTGATGGAACTCGTGGCTTTCATGGAGTCACTGTTGCTGAGCGGGGAAAGAGTGCTGCTACTCAGACTTGATCAGTGGGACTCCATGAAAAAGGATCCAATGGAAACTTGTTGCTCTCCCCTTCTGTCAACATTCGAGACTGTGTAGATATGTTTAGTGTGTCTGTTATATTTTTATACAGCATTTTGTGTTACCATGGTAAGATTATGGGATTTACCAATGGGGAAATTTAAGTGAATGTAAACTGATATGGCTTTGAGAGAAAACTACATCCATCGCTGAAATGGACCATGTTGCCTAGTTTCCTCTAAGTTTGTTTCTCTTGAGACAAGCTAGAGAGAACTCAAACTTATGTTAAAGTCTAGTCTACAGTGTAAAATCTTGCAACCACTCTGTGTGGATGGTGTTCAGATGTTTAAGTGGCGTGGGCACATGGATTTGATGTCACCATATGCCTTTTTCTGTTTTTGTTAAACATGAATTATGCTTTCACATGCTATTTAATGAGGCCATAATGGCTCCACTGCCATAGAAGTTGGATGTCATTTTTTTTGTTCAGTTTTTATTTCATTTTCAGTATAACTTCTGCATTTTTATAGGGTTTGTTTCAAATCCTGTACGTATTTGCAAGTAGCTGCTTTATTTTTTTATTTAATTTTATTTTTTTTATTGTCAGTCTAAGCTCACTGTGGTTTTGAGGGATGTTCAGGTTGGGGAGAAAAGATGCTCTTATGTTGCCTTTTACATCTGAGCTAGGGCATTTGTACACTGAGAATCTTATTGTACAAATAAATCACTGAGATTGCAATTTAGTTTGGACTCTTTGTTTTAATCACTTGAAACAACTTCAAAAAGTTGCTACCAAAAATCATAGTGGTACCAAATTGACAAATTTCAGAAAAGTTGAAAAGTTTCTTCAAAGAAACGTGCTCTAAAATGACCAACTTTTTTTGTTAATGCAAAATATCTATGCAGAGATTTAAAAACAAAGTTGCAAACTTATTTGACGGAGCCGGTTCAGTATGCAAATGTAGCTACGTTTTGGACAACTGGGATCAAGTTTGAATAGTCAGGTCTGCCCATCCCTGCTCCTGTAGTCCAACCTGTTTGTGTCTTGGTAAGCAGCAGCTTTAGTGTCTTGTTACTGGTTTTCTGCGAAGCATTGTATTTGTTTTAGAAGAAAAAGCCTAAATGTAGCTTTTRCAAGCTGAGCTGGATGAAATCTCCATTTTTGTCTATTTCAGTGGGTTGATGCAGAGAACTAGGATTAGAAGTTTGAAGCGGAATCATAATTTTAACTTTGCATTCAGGTGAAAATCCCTATCACACCTGGATTACAGGACAGCAGCCCAYAGCAACAGCAATTTCATGTAACAAAAATGGTTTAAAATTGTATAACAAACTGCTTTTATATTGGTCCTTTTAATTTGGATAATGTTGAAGAGCTTTGTTTTCAATTTGGCACTGATTGGTCCTCTTCTCCTGATTACTTTTAAATAATTAGGCCACTGTGAGTCATTGCATTTTGTTTTTACAAAACAAAACAGAGGTAAAAGGGTTGTGAACACTTCATGAGCACTAATCATTCTCATGCCGTCAGGTGGGATCAAATTTATTTTTTTGTGCTTTGTGTTGGATTTAAACTGCTGTAGGCGTGAAGGTAATGAGAAGACACAATCTGAGGCTGTGCTGGATGACCTGATGAGACWAAGTGGGATTGCATAAGAGAGAGATGAATAAACTTTTGTTCTCCACCTCTTTGCATTATTAGCAATTCAGAATGAGGAAGTCGTGAGTTCGTCCGTTTTTGATCACTATCCAAGACTGATTCTGGGCATAATGACTGTGAGGGGGAAAAGTGCCACAGAATGAAAGCAGCATTTTCAAAAGATGAAATTCTATATGACCACTGAAGATAGCTTTATAATTGGATCAAATTGGAATATCAATAAGAGATAATACCACAGCTCTGGTCATTATATATCATTTGGCAGTGAGCACTGATTTATGAATAAGAAGGTAGTTTGTGCAGTTTATTTACTTTGAACTTTTTTAGATAATTTGTAAGATGTGATTAGATTGCATCTGAAGTTAATAGCTTTTTTTGTGCGCAGTATTCAGGTTTATATCATTACGTTTTGAATAAAAAATTGTTCTGTCAAATTATGGCAGCTGTTGGTAATATATTTTTATAGTTTGTAACCAAATACTGCAGAAACTTAAACATGGAATTGGCCAAAATGCTAACATGATACAGGAACTATAGTCTTTTTCAGGCTAAATTACAAGACTTCAAATGGAGAAAAACAAAGTACGTTTTAGTAGTCTCCTCGCCTCGCAGCACAGAATATGCCATCACTTGCATCAGTCTGTAGGTGGGAGCTGTAGTGACTGTGAGTGGGTGGCGTCAACACTGAGGAACTAAAATTAGGGTGGAGACATTTTTTTGCAGCCTCACCAAAACAGCCAATTGGAAAAGTCGACACAAACTACAAGAACCTACTAGAAAGGAAATGCTTTTTTTTAAAAGCTATGATGCAACACAACGTGTAAGTAAAACTTGGTACCATGAAAGCTGTCACTGATGACTATGTTCACTAACGTCAGCTGTAGTTTCAGTGCTCCGGGTCGAACAGACAGGAAGAGAATGTTCCTCTGTCACGACGTTAACTCAATGACCCTCTCCGTCTGCCACAGCCTGAGGGGTATCACAGGCCTCTCTCACCACTAGCTGTGTAAAACGTGGGAAAAAGAAAAGACAAAAACAAACCTCGGCTAATAATAATAAAAATAAATCCTTGTAATGGGCTGCAGGGAGAAGAGCTCACGAGTGAAAAGCTCAATCTTATGGCAGATTCAAAAAGAACCCAGGCTCAGGAAGTTGTGATTCTGACCTGTGACCTCACTGCTGAACATGCAGCGTCTGAAAGAAACAAAAGCATTTTCCAGGATAAAACTACTGACAGAGCAAAAACAAAACAAAAAAAATCCACATTAGTCACCATTATAAACCAGGTCAGTGTCGCCACAATAAACCATAAACAGATTAAACATGCTTACGTGTGGTGTGTATTTAGTAATGTTGTGTAAGCAGTGTTAAGTAGTTACATTTTATTTATAGAACTTAAAAAAAACAAATCATTTACAGCCCTCAAATAAATACCAACACTTAGAAAAACAAACCCAAAAATATACATGGAAACAGAATATTTTTTACAGTGTAAATCATATTTCAGAAAGGTTAGCAAAGAAAGCAGACAACACATCTGCAAAAATCTCCAACATGGGAAAACCAGAGTCACTGCAGATTACTGCTGCAGCTCATTTCAAATGTTTCTATCAATAATCAAACTGTGGTTTATTTGTTCACATTCAGAAAGTGTGGCTGCAGCAAAAGATGACATTTAAATCTTTTCCACCACTAAAAGTATTTTAACAAAAACTTAACTGCAAGTATAATAAACTATCAAAAAAAAAACATTTGTTTTTAAACTCACAAGACAGTTTTCTGCTTGTTGTGACTTCCACTGAYGTCATGCTGGGGAAAATTGAAGTCCTTACAGAATTTTGTCAAAAGCAACAGGCATCAATAAAAACACAATACAGTACATTCTCTGCAGCATTTTYGCGCTTTTGGAACATAAATGTTACCCTTCAACTTGCCCTCTTTCTGTCTGCCGTTACTGTAAAAAAAGATATGTAGCCATGGTTACTWCTGACCCTTGTTGATGCATCTAGCTTGTAATAAAGGAGGAGCAATAAGTACTCTAAGGTGACAGGATGTCTGTGAGAGAGCAWCTCCACAGGAAACCAAAGCTGTCCATCAGCAAGATGGAGCCTAACCACTAGTTAGGCCAAAGCAACTGGATGCACATAATCACCGGCTCCTCGTCCTCCTGCACAGCTCCGTCTGCACCATCTCAACAGGAGACGGGCGCAGAACCACTGACACGGATCGGAAGGTTTTGTGGGCAGAGTTGGTGGCGGCGTGAAGAGGAAAACACTTCCTGTTCGTTAGCAGATGGGACGAGGATGTGTTGAGCAGAGAACGTGATAAGAACACAGCTTCTCAGATCTTCAGTCTTTGCAGGGTGAAGTAGTGTGAGGAGGAGGAGGAGGTTACAAACCAACAGTTGAGTCTAGAGTTTGCTTCAAATGTAGAGCGAGCCATCAGCAGGACCCACGTAGCCGACCCCTATCAGGAGAACATCTATCAAAGTCCAGATGCCCAGGCCGCCAAAGCTGAACAGTTTGCCCAGACCCTCTCTCCACTGACCCAGATAAAACCGGTCTGCACCAAAACCACCGAGAGTGATGCTGCAGAAAGAGAGAGAGAGAAAAATAAAACAGAGCAACTTATCATGACTCAAAAAAAGAGGTTTTAATGCCACTACCCATAATGATCAAAGCTGTTTGAAAAACTAGTGATGAGTTTACCTGAAAGCTAATGCTGTCGACCATTTGTAACCACCAGTCCAGTTACAGAACAAACGCTTCTGAAACTGCCGTTTGCCTGCAGGAGATAATTACGACAGACATTATAGAAGCGCTGATGTTGAAAACTCCAACAAGCCTGTAAAGAGGCTCATTCACAAGTCAGCAAGGTAAGAATTATGTTTGCATAATTTTGTGTTTAAAACTGCTGATCCTTTTCAAACTCTAACCTAGTTTCACACTTGTCATATTTTTGGCTGAAACATTTCCTTTTTAGCCCTTATCAGTGACAACCAAAAGTACTAACACTTTAACACAACCTTTTATAAACACTAAAATTGCTTTACCCCCCACACACACACACACACACACACAAAGTATTTCATTAAGCAAATAAAAGCAGCTTCTATTTAAAAATGTGGAGAACTTGACACATTTGATAAGGCAGGTTATTTTTCTGTAAATGAAGCTGAAGATTTCTTTTTTTTTTTCACACCAACAGTCAAATGTTAGGTGCGTAATGGGCTTTTAAGACATACAAAAGAAAATAATGAAATTACTTTTATAGTCATGTGGGAAAAAAGCTTAATCTAACAGTAGCTGTGACTCTTTGTAAGGTAAGCAAATATAAATAACTAAAATCAAACTAAATTAATATTTTTGGAGTCATTTTTAAAGATTGAACTAAAAACAGATAAACTACAAGCAAAATACAGTATAATGTTCACAGCTATAACTTAATTCAGTTAAAATTAGGGTTTCTRGATTAAGAGTTATAATTTTTGCCTTTAACATCTGTTCTGTTACTACACACATTTTTTTCTGTCTATAAGCAATAATGTTATGACTGCACATTAGGGATGCAAGTTATCGATTAATGGATTAATGTAAAGTTGATTGATCTTATCGATCGACTAACGATTAATTAATAAGGGGCAATTTTCCTAAAAACCTGACATTTCTCTTGAATCAAGAGTCTTTCTATAACATGAAGAGCTAATTTTATTTTTACACACTAAATAAAAAAAGTACAGTATTKTAACAATTCATTGTGCCAGCTGTGTGAGTAAACACTGACTGAATGAACAGAAAAATGTGGATTTCTCTCACATTATTAAACTTGGACATATTTATAAAATATAACAAAACAGGAATCTGATAAGTTGCTAGTTGAAAAAAAAAAGTAAAACACTTAATCCATCCTGAAGATGAAAACCTTATTTAAACACGGGGTAATATTTAACGATTAACTCAAAATCAAACTAAGAACATAATAAAATATCTCTGAAAGACGTGAGATACAAATGAGTACTGTACTGGCAATTGTTTGTTTGTTTGTTTGTTTGTTTACACTCCGTCTGCTTCTATTTTAGCTGGGCTGCTGGACATGTCATGATCTGACATCAGTTACTGTTTATTAGATTGGTTCACTGGCCGGGTTATGTCACACAGATTAGAATAACTTCATATTTTTAGCGAATGTAACTTTTTTTTGTTTGTTCTTTCACACAGAGTTAAACTCAACAAGAGGAAGCTAACGTTAGCCACAGTTAGCTTATCGTTCTCTGTCGTCCTTCTCTTTTGTTTTAAGCATCATACTGCTGGACAGTCCGGTACAGCCTTCAATGCTTTTCCTTCGGGTTTGGTATAGTCCATTATTATTGTTGTGTCGCAAGTAAAACTAAATACGACTCAAGCGTTTGCGGTCCCACCCACAGGCGGCTTTCTGCTGCTCAGTTTATAACAGGGCCGGGGTAAAGCAGCAGTGCGCTCTGCTTGATGAAGTCAAAACTACACCGAAATAAGGTTTAAACGGACGTTTTCAATTAATCAAATGGAAGAAACTTTAACCTAATAAACCTTTAATCGACAATTAATCATAAATCGATTAATTGTTTGCATCCCTACTGCACATAAATCAAGCAAGAGGATTAAACACACATAAATGATCTAAAACACAATTATCTGAGAAGAATATTTAAAGTTATTTCTGTACTGACTGATTTGATTTTTTCCCACCTAAAAATCAGTGATTTTACCACTAAGCTAAAAGATGTTTCCAGGTACACCAACAATTTAGCACAAAATCTACAAGAACCACTTATGGTTGTTCTACTGTGTTTACAATCAGAATGAGACTGCACAAAATTGAGCACCACGGGGGGCATTCCAAAAAAAAGGGTCTTTTTTTGGTGAATAAAGCAAATAWAGCATAGCAACACTGCAGCTTGCCAATAGACACAGAGGAAAAGAGTAGGCCTTATGTAAAACATTTTTTCTCTGTAGAAACTGTAACACTGCTTTAAATCTATTTTATTTTTTAAAAAAATACATGAATTCAACCATCTTAATTTCCTAAATTGACTGTCTGGGAATAATGTTTCARCTGGATCAAATGTTTGTTACTGAACCATGGAAAAGCCAAAGCTTGTCTCTTTTATGTGAATATAAACMTGGCGTACAGTCCTATCAGCCAAAATAAAGACAAAAATAAACATCCTCTACGCTCTGACACATTACAGATTAAATTCACTCTTTCTAATGGCAACAGCCATTAAACACAGCCTACGCAATTTTTACATTTAGACGTTAAAACGCAATAACCAAAACAGGGCTATTCTTCCCCACAGTCATCGAATACGGTTAAAACATAACTCTGACTTCTTTCAGCCACCCTCCTAACAAAAGGTAAAGAAAAAGCCATCCTACACATCTCATTTGTGTGTTTGTATAATAACACAGACAGAGAATACAAAGTCTGCATGACTCAGAGCTCCGTTACCAGGAAATGAAGAAGTTTAAAAAGCTTAAATTGTCTCTTATTCACTGTGAAAAACTACCAGTTCAAATCTTTACAAAACAGAAAAGATTATTGTGTAAATTCTACGTATTTGAAATAAAATAAAAAAAATCACAGCTGTGACAGAGACATTAACTAGCTTTGAATGTACATTGTTCCCTCACTGTCATTGAAAGCAAAAACCCATTATCATACCTAARCAATGCACGTGGTTTAGGACTTTACAGGTGGCGTTGTAGCGCTTGCGTGGGCAGGAGACTGTCATACAGTTGTTCGGGTTGGAGCAGTGGTACTGAGAGGGCTCCAGCTGCCAGCAGAACTGACAGATGATGGAGAGAGTGAAGTTGCTTTGCTGCTGTCCTGACTCTCCCTGCAAAAGCAAAAATGATGAAAAAAAAATTTACTACACAGAAACATTTGCACTAATGTTATATTTTAACTTGTAAAAATTTACTTGAAAAAGGTAGAAACCTTCTCTAAATCTAACTAATAAAAAAGTTTCTACTCACTATACAGTGAACCCCCTTATTGGGTTTACAGGTGAAGGAAGCTGGTTTGCCATACGTGCAGTTGTGTTGGTAATTGCACTGAATACAATCTGCTGGCAGACGACTGCACAAACCCCCACTAGGACATTCAGAAACATCTTCTTCTACAGGGGACACTAAAAAAAAACATCGGTTATTGGAGCAAAACTTACCTTAAATAATCAGTGTAATATAACAACYTTGATACAAGCTGTTAATTGTGGCGAATTCAAAACACCTCTTTCTGAGAAGAAAATAGGAAGCATTGAAAATACTAACATGCTAAATCTCTTTTTTATTTCTGTCATATACAGTATCTCATGAGGAAGACTTTTTGCACAAACACAGTACGACAATAAAAAGGTTCAAGAAATAGGGATATATTTATAAACTTATATGTGAAACGGTCACAGTGGTTCTCAGAACAAATACCATGAACAACAAACCAGCCAGGTTTAAAGGACCATTTAAGACAGAAAACCTGTTGACAGTTGCTTTGATGAAAAAGCACTTTAACCACAACAACCTCATTACAGAATGTGATTGAATCTTTTTCCCCACAATAGCAATCAACTTTACAAAATCTAAGAATAGAATCAAAACTTGAAATTTGTATTTCCATCCTGATTGCATTGTTTTCAATGATATATTTTAAAGAAATAGCTAAATGAAACTGCTGGCTAGCTACAGCTGTTTCATGAACACGTATATAGTTTAGAAACGMACTAAATACTGTAACAGTCACGAATAAGATGATCTAGGAGTTAAAAAAAACCTGCATTTTAAATTTCAAATTAGTATACTAGTAATGTTTTAGCTGTACTGTTAATAGAGTTTCAGTAGTTGGAATTACTGTCATTATGTGCACCTGAAGAAATACTAATGAATATTAATGTTTACAACACAGCTGTGTAGAGATTATTTATTTATTTTTACCAGAAGCTGCAGCAGGGACCACAGGGCTGGTGATGATGGGTCGATGCTGGGATTCCCTGCTGAAAGCAGGCTCCTGGTGGCTAACCTGAGGAGAACTCAAGTACCCTGTAAACCAACCAGAACATGAAAAAACTGGTCAATAATACATTGTATACTCGTATTATAGTAATTAAATGTTTTTTTCTAAAGCGCAGTAGAATAGTTTTATCCAACTTAGTATTAACAGCTAACAATTAGTTCTCATAAACAATGAATGTGTTTGGTAGTACGAAGTTATTACCAAACACGTTTAGTGTCTCCGATAAACCACTGTTAAACCAGTGCTAGACGGTGAGTGTTTTCATTGCGAACAAGCTAGCTGCACCGAGATTGAGCTAGCTAACATGCTAGGCAAAGCTAGCTCTGTAATCAATACATGATGACGACCACAACCCTATGAGCTGGACTGGTAGTTGTTGTTGCGTAAACATACCGCTAACGCTCTGTAAGACCAGGTCCATAAACAATATGACAAATATCCCGTAGTGTTTTGAACACCGCCCTCGGTCTGGTCTCCACATCTGACAGCTAGTAGAAGCCATTGTTGTTGCTGCGGAACAAGATGCAGCTGCTGCGTTCAAGTCGTGTAGGAAAAAACAAAGTTAAGAAGCGCGAGGAGAGAAATCCCGAGAAAACACATCTTCGTCGTGTTGTGAAGTAAGTACAAATACTTTGTTACTGTACTTAAGTAGAATTTTTGGCTATCTGTACTTTACTTGAGTAATTATTTTTTTAGCCTACATTTTACTTCTACTTCTTACATTTTCACACAATTATCTGTACTTTCTACTCCTTAAATTTAAAAAGGCCACAAGTAGAAAGTCTTTACTTTTATTTATTTTTGTTGCCTTTGCAAATTTTCTCCAGCTCTTGTTGGATGGGGACCTTTGGTGGACAACCATTTTTGGAGCTTTATACTATTCAAGCC